GGCTCGGAAACAGGAAGGACTCAGGAGCCCCGGAGCAGCCCTCTCATGCTGGCCTTGTCACACCCTTGTCCTGCTTCAAGCATCCCATCTGCATGGTCATTCCTTTCTTGTATGGCTGAGCTGCCTTCCCTGGGCCAGACCTGGAGAATTAGAAGGAGGGAGGAATGAAGACGGAGACAGCAGGACTGTCCCCTCTAGGAGGTCACCAGGTCCCAAGACCTGACCTTGCTCTCCAAGGAGCCCTACCCTTTTCCTTGCAAATATGATTTATACCTGACTGAATAAAAAGCCTCAACCTGAATACCTGTTCCTCGGTGTTTGTGTTCACAGGGAGTCGATGTTATTTCAGAGCAAAGTCATATTTTCTGGGTCCCAGCTGAGAGCTCAGACCATGAACACTACATTCCTATCTACTTGAATAGTTTCTTTGTCCCCAGGGTGCCCGGACCCTTGATAGGTAAAGGGAGGCTAATGGTCAGGTGGGCCAAGGTCTCTGAGGAAACTGCTAATGGAAAGACCCAAGCATGAGTGGGAACACTCACACTCTCACACACACTCACACACTCACACATACACACACACACACTCACACACTCCATGACTCTGCAGGCCTTTGAGGCCTCCCTCTCCCGATTCTGTTCAACACACTTACTCCAGGAGTGAAAAGCCTGTTTCTTGGAACCCCACAACCCTGGTCCCCTTCAAAAACCCAGAGGGCCCCCTCCTGACTACTTAATGCAGCTGTCTTAGCCTCTTCTATTGTTTCATAGAGCTCTAGGGATTTCTTCCCATCAAAGTCTGGGTTCCTTGTATCCTTGGCAGGAAAACCTCTCTTTTTCCCTCTCTCTCTCCTGTGGCCAGGACCTACAGTCCTCAGGCTCTTCTAATCTCTTTTACTGTTGTTAGTACGCATGTGTGCACATGTGTGCCCGTGTTATGTATTTGCATTTTCAGGGAATATGAAGAGGCCACAGGAGAACATTCTGCGTCTTCCTCTATAACGCTCCACCTTGTAATCCCAGGATTTTACATGGGTGATTGGGGATTTGAACCCAGGTCCTATCGATTTCACAGCAAGTGTGTTTACCCACTGAGTCATCTCCTCAACTGTCTCCTCTAGTTTCTTGAAGCCAAGGAACAAGCCTCCCAAGACAGGTGTTGAGAATCCCAGGATTCAAACAGAAATCCATCTGCCCTTCAAGAAGACTACAACCAGGCTTCCCTCTATCTCAGACACAGACCCTCCAATCCCCAGGCAAGGGCAAAGAAAACCACCAATGAGCCATGACGGTGTGAGAAAGCAGGAGACAGATCCTGGAGGAAAGATGAGAAAGGCAGGGACCTAGGCAGGGAGTGAGGGCTGTGGGACCCTTTCCACAGAGCCTGTGTTGGCCACACCACTTACAAAATCGTCCAAGTGTCTGCATCTGCCCCTCGATTTTCCTAGGGCTGGTGGAGACAAGGCAGTCTACCAATCTTTGTGCAATCAGGGGTGATCTTAGCCTGCAAACTCACATGTGCACAGCACGAACACCACATTATAGAATGTCTATCTAATTAATGTCATTCCTACTCCAATCTCCTACACCAGAGTGCTAGCAAGAAACAAACAAACAAACAAAAAAAAACAAAAAACAAAAAACAAAAAAAAAAAAACTTGACATCAGATTCTCACTCACAGGGAATCCCATCTCTTAAAGGCTGTATAGAGTTTCTAGAACACTAAGCCCCAGTGAGGCCTCTTCCCTGCACCCACCAACCCCCACAACCGTACCATCTTGGGACACTGCCAGGGAAAACTGACTCCTGTAGTCCAAGCAGGTTATACATCTTCAGATCTAAGCCAAATTTGAGACGTGGGATTTCTGACACTTGAGCCTCTGAAATTAGACCTGAATACCTCACCACACCCCTAAAGCCATCTGCCTGTCACTTCCCTAGCTTCCAGGAACTGAAGCCCAGTGTCCACAGCGGCTGGACCTGCAGGACAGTCTCCTCCACGGTCTAAAGAAGTCTGTCCCTCTCCTGAGCCCTCCAGAGTTTAAACTCCTCTCAGGATGAGTCAGACTTTTACAAAGGGCAAAAGGGCCTTTAACATCTAGAAGTTCTATTCTCATATCTGCTCTAAAGTGAGAGGAAAATCATCAGGCAGAAGCAAAACCTAGCCAGGCCTTTTGGTACAGGACTGTAATCCCAGCTACTTGGGCGGCTAAGACAGGAGGATCCTACACTAACAGCCCACCTGGCCATAAAATAAGTTCAAGGTTAGCCTAGGAAACACTGTCTCAACTGTTTTAAAAAATTATTTTAAGTAAGAACTATGGCTGAGGCTATAACTGAGTGGCAGAGTGCTTGTTTAGAATGTGAGGAAACCCTGTGTTCAATATCCAGTACAAAGAAAGAAGGAAAGAGAAGAGAAAAGCAAGAAGAAGATGTCAGTTAGCCACACCTCTGTGACTGGTGTTTGCCTGGAGCCCTGCTCTCAACAAACACGCAATCACTTATGTTTTCGTCAGAGAATGAGAGACCACTTTCCTTCTCCATTTTGTTCTTTAACAGTGTTGTCCTGTTCTTCCTTATTCCCATAAATTATATTTTTTAAACCATGTAAACATACCCATGGCTTAAAAAAAAGCATTTTAATTTTTTTTCTAACAAGAAAGTACCAGAATCTTGTTCTGAACAATACCAGTCCCCACAACTTTTAACTCTTAAGATATTTCTTCTGGGAGTCTGCTCCTCATTTCCAAATCCTTGTAACTGTCCCTGGATTCATGCTGAGCACGTTATCAATAGACTTCTTACTATAAAAAGTGGAGATTTAGCTCTCTTACCAATTCTCCTGCACTACACCTTCTGCACGTAATTGTCATGATCCCTATATTTCATCATGTTATATGTATATTAGTATGATTATGCAAATATTCGTTCATTGAAGAACAAGGAATGAAATGTGCACACTTCTTACTTCTCCTTTGTCATTCAATTTCCCTTTTTATTTCTTTTTAAGCTATATTGGAGGTTGAATCTAGAACCTCATGCATGCTATGTAAGAGCTCTACTACAATACTCTACTAGCCCCAGTCCTAGCCTTTTGTTTTTCTTTTATTTAACATGTATGTGTATAGCCTGGCGTTGGTGGCGCACACCTTTAATCCCAGAACTCAGAAGGCAGAGGCAGACGGATCTCTGTGAGTTCGAGACCAGACTGGTCTACAAGAGCAAGTGCCAGGATAGGCTCCAAAGCCACAGAGAAATCCTGTCTTGAAAAACCAAAAAAAAAAAAAAAAAAAAGTATGTGTATGTATTTGTACACATGCATACAATGCCCAAGAAGTCCAAAAGAAGGCATTCATACCCTGAAGTTACAGGCAGTTGTAAGCTTCTTCTAGCCCTCTTGGCTTGTATGGACCACATGCACATGCAGGGCATAACTCTCTCTCTCTCTCTCTCTCTCTCTCTCTCTCTCTCTCTCTCTCACACACACACACAGAGAGAGACAGAGAGAGAGAGAGAGAGAGAGAAGACACACAGACACAGATGCATACATTAAAAAATAAATCTTCTTTTAAAGGTAACATTTTAAAAAACAACCTGATGGTAGGAAAAGTAAACACTTCAGCAAAGATGAGCACAAACCATGAAAGGAAACTATAAAGCTGAAGGATTTCTCAGGTCTTTGCCCTGCACACACCAGCAGTATTAATTTCACTGAATACTGTGAAAACAGAAAATAATTCATAGATTCTGCTATAAACGTAAGAGGGAAAACAACCATTAAAATTTCTCCAAAATTTACAGAGTTGTTCTCTAGACATGAGAACACTGTAATCTCTGGAATCGTGTGTTTTCTTCTAGTTCTGAAGTACTGAAGTACCTTACTTTGTGTGTGTGTGTGTGTGTGTGTGTGGTTGGGGGTGTGTCCCTGCACAGGTGCACGAGCCTCAGCCAGAGACCACATCAAGTGTCCATTTTCTGTCCACCTATTCCTTTGGCATTTTCCCTGAACCTGGGGCTCGTGTTTTGTTGGCCAGGCTGGAAGCAGTCCCAGCAGTTTCCTGAGATTCCCAGCTTGCTACATGGATATGAGGATCTGAACTCCAGTCCACAAGATTGAGTAGCAAGCACTCTTAACTGCTGAGTCATTCCTTTTTAGCTGAATCATCACTACCTTCTAACAATAAGTTATGCTCAGGGCCATTCATTAAGTTACTAATTTACATATATTTAAATTATTTCATCACTCTCTTTTCCATGAAAGGAACACACAGGTGTTCATGCATGCATACACACACACACACACACACACTCCTTTCTTACCAGCCCTTTAACCTCTTTAGAGCCAGTCTCAAGTCCTGAGGCCTTCACAAGGTCAAGCATATACCTGAAAGCAAATTCCAAGGTGAGAATTCAGGTTTCTTGCATGCAAACTAAAACAACCCAGAACAACTCTGTTGATACTGCTAATTTTGCTTTAGATACATTCATTGTGATAGTATCGTTATAACATAATTCAGCCCAGTATTAAGAGACTAAGTGGACCCATCTTTTGTGAACACATCTGTACAGTGGCTTGTTTCTGTTCTGGACATTGTCTGCCGCAGGGGAGGGGAGGAACACATCGCTGTTTCAGTCACCAGGGGGCAACATCATCGCCGCAGTCCTAGGTCGGCTAAAGTCAAACAGCTTGCTCTCTTCACCCTTGCTTCATCCAATTTTAAAACTATTTTTTAAATTTGTCTTTATTATTTGATGTGTATCGTGTTAGAACAGAGGCTTATCATTTATCTGTGTCCATTTAAGAATAGAACAAATTTCTTTCGCATTCGTTAGGTTCAAGCCTCTCATTAGGCACAGAAGCTGCTTTTAGTCTATCAAGAAATCTCTGAGGAATAAAGAAACCTTTTACTTAGAGCAGGCTCTGGTGCTAAGTAATTTAGGAACTTAAGACGAGAAGGAAAGCACTGGAGGCGATGTGAACATCCTTCAGTCTTTAAGTCAAACATCAGTTATTTCGCATCTTCAGCCTTGGGTGCCGCGGATTCGGGCACACTGGGGTGTTTGGGTGGGGACCTTGGAGGTAAACACCTTCTATTCACCGCCACCCTGTCGCCGGGTTGAATGCCTGTGGGCCTCGAGG